CGCCACTCATCACTGGTCTACATTTGGACGCTGAACCATTGACCGCAACTCTTTGAGTGCGACCATCCACCCAGTTCCTTATCCATCAAGTGGTCTACCCATCAAATCCATCTCTCCAATTTAGAGAGAAAGATATTGTGGGGGACCATGTCAAAGGCCTTACAGAAGCCCAGATAGACAACATCTGTAGCTCCTCCCTCATCCACTGATGTAGTCACACCACCACAGAAGGCCACTATTTTGGTCAGGAAGGACCCTTGGTGAAGCCATGCTGGCTGTCTTGAATCACCTCCCTGTCCTCTATGTGCCTCAGCATATCTTCTAGGAGGATCTATTCCATGATCTTCCCAAGCGCAGGTTGACAGGTCAGTAGTTCCCAAGATCCTCCTTTCTACCGTTTTTAAAAATGGGTGCAATGTTTCCCTTTTCCTAGTCACCAGGGACTTCACCTGACCACCATGACTTCTCAAATATCATGGAAACTGTCTTGGCAACTACATCAGCTAATTCCCTCAGGACTCTGGGATGCACCTCATCACGTCCCATAGACGTATGTATGCTCAGGTTCCTCAGGTGGTCACGGACCTGATCTTCCCTTACAGTGGGAGGGACTTCGCTCCACCAGTCCCCATCTTGCGGCCCTTCCCCTCAAGAGATGTGAGAAAAGAGACTGCCAGTGAAGACTGAGGCAAAGAAGTTGCTGAGTTGGCCTTCCCGACCCCATCCCTACGTAACCGGCAGCATTCCTATACTCTTCCCAGGATACCTGTCCCTGCTTCCACTGCCTGTGCATTTCCTTCTTGCCCTTTAGCTTGACCACCAGCCCTTTAGCTTGACTCATCCATGCCTGTCTCTTGCCTTCCTTTCCTGATTTCTTACACCTATCAAAGACAAATGTTTTCATAGCAATGCATTACAAAAATGTGGTAATTACTGAATTTTAACCTAATCTGAGAGAAGGCGAGCTGCAGTAGCACCAATAAGCAAAAAAATTCAGTAAGCATCAAGTGGTTCATTCAAACTCTAAACTCTTCTATTTAAGATGAGGTTGGTATAAGCAACATATTATATATTTTTACCGTACAGAATACAGCATAAGCAACAGATTCAGACACATTACTTCCTGAGCAATAAATCTACGATTTTATCTTGCAACATACATTTCTGGTAAGTGTTACACTGCCTTGGTTTCTGAGTGAGATACATCATGCTACCTCTCTAGTGTCCAGAGCATGGAACGTGCTGCAAAGCAGCATCAGCTGGCACAGCACAGAAATTAAAATAACATAAAGGAAAAAACCTCCCCCTCCCTTCCCCCTCAAAAAACCCCAAACAAACAAACGAAAAAACAAACAAACAAAAAAAAAAAGAGGCAGCGTTTCCACAAATTCCATTCACTTGAAAGGGGTGCTGCTAGCATAAGGAATTCTGTCCAGACTTTTCTGCAAGGGAAAGCAGCGAACTGTTTTACCAACTTAGTCTGGCAAGTCTGAAATGCCTGCTGGTGGTTACCCATGCTGCTAAATAAGGATAGTCTGGATGTAAAAGCTTCCGATTTGGCTCTGTGAAGAATTACCCAGAGTCAGTGAGGTTTATTAGCTCAGCAAAAACATTTCACGAATGCAAGAGCTGAGCTATGCAAACAGTGCAGGTACAGCCAAGTAGGAAAAGTTAGAACTAACATGCTCTAAGAGTGCGTGAGACAGACCTTAAAGGGCTGCACGCAGACACAGCTCAGGCCTCCCTGCACGACTGCTGCTGGAAATACAGGAAAGCATAGAAACACCTCAATGTCTAGAGGGAATGAGACCAGATATGACATTACTTCTGTGAGGTTGAAACCAGTCAGCCTTTCAGGATCGAGTTGTTTCCTGCAGAATTACTCAGGTATCACTGCACTATAGCTCACTGAACTCCCAGCACTTCAAGTTCATGGAAAGCTTATTAGGTCTCATCAGCAGGGTGTGAATTTATGGACCCAGTTCAAAATCTGGAAGCGCAGCCATGTAAAACTAAAGACAGTGCAGGAACATCTATACAGCTCACCAGAGGGCAAGATATAACAGAATCTAGGCTGGCTGGCTCCCTACCAAGTATGTTTTATACTGGACTTCTAACTATGCATATTACTATCCCCACCACGCAGTGTATTCCAGACTTCTCAAGTCTTGGGTGTCAGACGTGCAAGTAACACCCAAGTTTCCTTGTCAGTCCAAAACAAAGGCACTGAAGACACCTTCTGCCAGCCAAAAAATCCCATTTAATTTCAAATTACAGAATACAGAAGATGGTTCCTTTACATTTGTTACTTTATCAAACAGCTCAGCAGAACATGCTCTAGATTTCTGTATTTAAAAGTTAAAAGCCTTGAGTTTTCCAACTGGATCATTCACAATACACAGTGCTAAAGCTCCCTCTGCTGTCTGCATAGAGCAGTTAAGTTTTATACTTCGTTGTACTCATCACACAAAGATAAATGTGAGATGTGGATATTGGCCACAATTAAAAACCAATCAGGTAAAGAAGTCTGCTCAGAAAATTTTAGATCCCTGAGAGTCAGACAAAACACACTGAGGAGTAAAAGAACAAAAAGTATACATTTCTTTTAGCACAAAACGGAACCTTTCCATGCAACGAAAACTTAAATTCAGAATTAAGGCAAAATGTTAACCTATTAATGGCAGCAGGATCATTTAAAAATATTTTTAATATCTTCTTACAAACTACTCTGAAGTGCTAATTAATATATAAAGGCACAAGGAAAAAAAATATCTACAGTCTTTTCTTTATACACTATTTTAAAGTTACTTACACAGTACTACTCTATTCAGCTCAGCATAACCACTCACAGCCTTAAAACTCCACAAATCATCAGACGTTCTGCAAGAAGATGGCCACAACATGTATTCAAAATACCTTTTCTATATTAAAAGTGGAACTTTTTTTTTTTTTTAAGTAATTTTTTAAAAATTTAAATGCTTCTAATCTGGAAATAAATTTCTGGGGAATTTTGAGTTTGTACACAGGTTTTAGTCAAGCCATATATACTTCCAAGTAAGAGTTAATAGAAAATTAACACATAAAAATGAATAATCTAAAAGTGGTTTTAGGGCGAAATACAAATTTGAGAACCATCTCTATCATGCCTAAATTACTAAAAGATCTGTTCTACTCTGCTAAGAAACTTAAAAGTCTGCATTATATTTTACTAAAGAAACTGATTTTTTTTTCAGGTGACTATTTCTTAAACAGTTTGACAAATATTCATGATATTCAAAACCAGTAACTTTTAGGCAAAGGTCATACCTGTACCATGGATAAATAAAGTTTTCCAGCACCAACTCAAGCACCTGTGCAGAACAAAGACAACCATGTTACAAAATAAAGTTTACTGTAAATCCTTGTTAGAAGAGTTAAAAACACAAACACCTTCCAAAACTCATAGAACATAATTCGTGTTTCATATTCATAATTCATGAAAATTTGGGTTAATCAGGAGGAACCTCGCTGTTGGCAGCCACGTAACAGGCACACCCTGGTTCAGCTTGGCTTTCAACATCACAGCAGGAAGAGAAGCAGGAGAGGGGACAGTCCCTGTTCAATCAGTAGGCTGCCACCACCACGCACACAAGGCGTAACACAAGCTGGACGGCAGGTTTGGCACCTCTCCTTACACCTACACAAAAGTTTCAAGTAACTGTTACAGTCCTTGCAAAAAGAAAACTTATGAAGGGAAGGGGAAATTTCAGACAGTGCCAAAAAAAAAAAAAAAAATAAAAAAACAAAAACAAACCACGAGGAAGGAGATGGAAGGATGAAATAAATCTTACTGAGATTTCTCCTCCTTCATTAGAACCCCGTACTACCTTCTTCTGTCGCAATCTATCCTTTAACGTGAATCACTGCTTTAGAGATCAGTTTGTTCCTGGCAGCATCAATGCTGACCAGGGTAGTAAGAGAGAATATATGTGTTGCTATGTGAGGCTGCTGTGTGGTATTCTACAGAAGGAAAGGTTTTACAAAAGAAGTCACTGTGTTCAAAGGAAAGATGTAAAATCTGTTTGAAGGGAAAGCTGAATGTAACAGCTGATATACAAGTGTCATTTATGAGAATAAGTATTACTCTTTTTATAAGATTTGCTGCTGCACTCATTCACACTGCGTGCTCTGCAAGAATTCAGGACTTGCTAAATTTATACCATCTTTAGAGCACTACATGCCTCTGCTCTACTCATGATTATAAAAGAATGCTCAGGAAGAGACATACAACAGCCTTTTTAATTCCTCTCAATTCTTCAGACTCAACCAGCTGATGAACACTCTCTTCCTGTCTTCACTACTAAGAATACTGCCTACACAAATTTTATAAGATAGGCTCCCTTTTGCAATTGTTCCATTTCAGTGATTTTCCTCCCTTTGTTTTTAAGGGTGAAGGAAAAATTTTGTTCCTTCACCCTCTCTCTGATGGGATGTTTTCCAGTTTGGGATAACTTCAGATGTCTGCGTTGTGGACCATACAAAGTCATCAGTGTATTTTCTCCTGCCCCTATGTGCTACAGCAGTAATAGATCTTGAAATTGTAATATGATCGTGTATTGATGAGGGATGGGTAAGCTAAATGTCACCTTCCCACAAATCTTATATTTCCATTAAAAGCAGGGTGGAAGGGTGAGGGGAGATGACAATAGATGCTTTACTTCCCAGGCCAGAAGAGGGCAAGAAATCCCAGCAAATCTTCTTTGGAAGTTAAATCTTCACACAACAGGAGGGAGATCATATACCAGCTCCACTCAGCAAACACAGACCATTGGCCTTAAAAGCAATAGATCAAACTACCCAAAACAATTTCCCTGATGCCCTCCATAGCACTGCCAGTATATAAACCACCATTTCACTCTTGCAGGTATTGCAACATTATTTTTGTTGATTCAGAGTTTCTAACAAAATAAATCTCTTTCAGGGCTCAAACAGCAGACCCTTTCAAAAGAGTGCCTTTCAAAAGGAAAGGCTTACAAAAAAGTCCATACTGTGCATCTGTCTGTTAAAGGATCCCTTTTCTTTCTTCTTCCACTTTTGCTATGCTCCCCATCAAGAGCAACAACAGCAGACCATCTTCTGTTTGGAGTAGAAAGTGCACTTGGACAGGAATGCGCCACTGCAATTTCAGTTCATCAGATGGCTAACAGCTCATTGGCACTCTCTTCACCTACCGTCCAGAGGCTTCTAAAGCCTCTAGAAGAATTGTTTCCAACAGTGAGAGATCTCATTCTTACCGCTAGCTAAGCCAAACACATAGTTCTGAGAATCATCTTCTTGTGGTTATTAAATCAGCAAGGAAAGCAGAAAAGATGTGAGACCTTATGACCCATCCCACTCTGGAGAAGGTCTCCTTGAGATTCATCCCATGTTTGTAGTAACTGACTGAACCAGACTTGCCAGTGTTTGTCTTGTCATCTCCTGCTTCCACAGCCACACTGTACGGGCGGGCCTTACAGCAATGCTTACACAGGACACCGCTGTGCAGATAAACCCACCAGCCAAAGACCCAGAGGCAGAATGCACAGAGACAGACAGGTAACTCAAAACACACTTGTAAATCCCACGTATGGCTGGTCCCAATATCAGAGGTGTTCATCAGTAGGATGTCCTACTAGATGTCAAGTTCTCTATACAGCCTTAACGAAAAATGCCTTGATCCTGGACATGCAGGAAGCAGTTCCTATTTGCACACTTACTAAACACGCGGCACGGCAGACACACTTACATACAACGCTCCATTGCAGCGAGGTGCTGCGCTGAAGCTAGAAGAGAGCCATGGTGTGAAATCATCCATGCTGCAAAGCACAAGCACTCAAGGAATACTAGGTGATTGACCACCAGCAACTGGAGTTCAAGGCATATGGTCCCTACAGGTTTCTCATGAACTGTATAAACCTTCCAGATTATATTAGTATCACTCTGTAAGTTGGAAAAAAAGCTGTCGCATCATCCACCGCACTTCTGTAAAGCACTAGGAAAGCAGGACATGTGTACCCACTTCCAGTCTAGCAACACCAACACCATTCAAGCTCAATTACTCACACTATGCACACATGCCAACCGAGTAGATAGGACATCTCAAAAAATGACAGTTAATGACAATTTCCTTCTCTGTGAAGTATTATTCTCCAGTTTTAAACACAAATGATGAGTCATTTCATTTAAAGCCTACCTATTTTTCAAGCATTTTCCGAAATGTTCTACTATGTGTGAGCAGTTCTGAATTGGAAAGAGATTACAAGTGTAAAACCAAATGCAGCAGGTAGCAATATAAGCACCAACCGAAGAAAAAAAAAAACCACAAGAAATTATTTTCTAGCATGCACTGCAACACTGCAAGTGAGTCTCTACTGCTGCTGGGATAAGCTGCCTGTGCACTGCCACAGAACAGACCCCAGTTGTCAGGAGGAGGAACTGTAGTGCTGAGTGATTAATGATTCAGTAGCAGGTCAGAACCACTAGGCCAAATTCATTTGGAAAGCGGCAAGGATATGGCAAGTGAACCACAAAGACAATTTGAAAAACCTTGAAAGACTGCGGAGCTAGACAGCCGAGACCATTTTCTGAGGGTCTAACAAGCGATTCCCAATAAGAAAGCATGCAGGCTACTGTGCTGCTACAAGAATTCAGTCCTGGTAAGACACGCTTTCAGATTGTCCACTTCTTACTTTTAGGGAAGAGAAAAAAAAAAAAAGAAAAGATATAATTCTGGTCCCATAATCGAGTCAAGAACCTGAGTACCTAAGAATTAAAGAAAAATTTGTAAGATAGCACCTTGATCCACTAAGATATTTATTTTGTGAAGCTCATCAAGAGTAACAGAGCAGCTTTCCATTTCCTTGCAACTGTCCCTCACGCAGCAAAAATGAGATTGCAGGTAAAGAGCTGAGTTCATTAACTGAATAAAATAATTCAATTCTCCTTTATACAATTTATAAAGCCTAAAATTATATATAACATAAAAATGACCAATAGAAATCACATCCTAATCCAAAAAGAAACTAACATAAAGCACTGCAGATCAAAAACTGGAAATAAAATCACGCTTAGGTCACTGAACTGCTCTTGCACAGGATAGAGACCAAATCATCAAATAATGACAGACACATGGTTGGGGCAGTTTAGAGTTCAACAATAACAACAACGATAAATGAAGGGAGATAGAAAAGTCCAAGCAGAGGTTTTTCTTATTCTGTACTATGTACAGCAGTTAGATAACCAAAACAAGGCTGCAAAAGATTAAATATATCCAAAGAGAAACAAACTGTTATTGCAGTGCAAGAGAGAAAAAATCGATTTGTCAGAAAAACTTGGATTTTTTTTTCCTGATTCAAGTGTGTATTAAATTATCCTGTAAGCACTTGAAAACACAAGCTTAGAGACTATACAACTGATTCAAATTGGAAACATTTGGAAATGAGAACATCGCCAAAATTCTTCAACCTGCAAAGGAAGAGCTAGAAAATCTAATCCAGAAGAAAAAAAATCCCAGAATTATTCCAAGACTTGAAGAATCTGCTTTTCAGAAGCAAGCTGCACTTTGCACTCCTTTAGAATCTCATTCATCTTAATTCACTTCTCACTGTATCAGCTTCCCTCTAATGTATGACTAACCCACAAAAGAAAACGAGAGCAGTCTTGCCTTCCAACGCGAAGCAGGCTATCCAGTTCCAGGCATGCTGCAACCCCAGAGCAGACAGTCAAGAGGAATACGGTGTGGGCAGAACCCCTTCTACCGTTTTCATCAGTACAGAAGAGATGCAATGGGGAACAGTACAATGAGATTTCTCATTCCAAACAGTATCCAACACAGGTGAAAATGGTAGCTCAGACAACTCGTCTGATGATCATTCTGGCTTACTGCCCCAGACAAGCACAGAACTTGGGTCCAGCCATTCTCTCTAGTTAAGCTCCCAAAGAAAAGAAAGGAATGAGAAACATGACATAGATACACAAAAGCCATGTCTATACTGCTAAATAAAGCAGGGCCAGGGACATGCCACTGAAGTGGAAAAAAAAAAAAAAAAAAGCCAACAAAGAAAAGCCCACAGCACTTTGGTAAAAGCAAAACTACAGCAACAGCAACCAAATACGAAATGCCAATGTGTAGCAGCACATTTTAAAGATCAGTCTTAGAAGTTAACTACGGTATCTACTCGTACCTCTTATGAATTACATACTACAAAAAATTTTCTTAGGATTAAATTCCCATTTAAGCTAAACAGGAAAATTTCCAGTTCTTCAGCATTTATCACATCCTTTGGTAAACTCTCACAGCTATTTCCTGACCAAAATTCTGAAAATATCGCATGCAGAGAAGTGTTGATTTTACATTCTGCTACTAAAACAAGAGGTTTAAAAAAATAAGCCTATTGAAATGATGTTCATCAATGCTGTTATTTTAACACACTTGAGCCCAAACTTATTAAAAACTTAATAGATTAAGTCATTTTAAAACAATAAATGTTTGCTTCTGAAATTGCAGTGAAGTCACTACATTAAACCAAAGGAAGTCAACAAGTTATCTGTGTTTTTTTAAAAAATATTCTTCAATTGTCCATCCCTCTCTTCACTTAAGGTTTTCATCCTTTTACTGCTCTTGCTGTGGGCCGTGCCTGGGACACCATCACGTACAGCTGAATTAAAGCGTTAGCTTATACCACAAATGCCCGCAGCTTTGACTTCGTACATCATGTTGGCGATTGCAAGAACTGACATGAGAGAATCTTCGCACTCCTGACATGTCGATCGTTCATCCTCCTACTACAGAACTCTAAAGTTGCAATTCTAAATAAATAGAGATTCAGCTACCTATATGCCTGCCTATTTTCCTAGCTTTAAAAAAGGACAAAATATTATCTATCAGCTTAGCTGACAGTGTATTTCATCAGTTACCAATCAAGGGTAAAAAAAAAAAACAAACCCAAAGAAAAAATGCTCTTTGGACAGATCTTTTTAAAGAGAAAACAACAAAACAAAATTCCTGAATTACAATCTTATTAAAAAATAGGTATTTATGCTATTCTTTTAGTAAATCCACTATTTTTTTAGAGATTTTGCTACAGCTCTATCTGATGATTTTACATACCTACCATCTTCGTTACAGAAATTCTGTAGCTGAAACAACCACCTCTGAACCTCCACCTCAACAAACTAGCAGACTGAAATCCTTAGCCTTTTGAGAATCGGACATGTTCAATTACAACCGTTCTTTCCTACATACTTCCCGGTTTACGTAGATGTGTCTCTTGTGTTCTAGGCACACTACTGCAGGAACAGTCACACCTGTGTTACCGAGCAGGCCATCTCACCTCTCTCGTCCTTGCATATATTCTTTTGATTTTACTTTTAGAGGAACAAATTAATGTATGCGGGAAGTACATCTGAACTATCTACCAAACCAGAAGAAATATGTCTACGAGATACGTAATAAAAACTCACTGATTTTTCAAGGTACTAAAGAAATTAAGCAGCAATTACCTCTGAAAGTGATGCATCAACCTTGGAAGGCACTTTCAGATCCAACCATGGCTGATAGTTTTCCAGAAGCAAAGTGGGTCTGTAGGAGAGCATGGAGAAGTTGGTGTAACAACATTTAACTGGAAGGTTCCTATTGCTATGTGCAAAATGTAAGAAATACTAAGCTTACTGGTGCCACATATGTTAACTTACCTGTGCCTCTTGCATTTGACCTTGCCACATACAGCACAACTGTGACCGTGGGGAAATAGCTCTGGCAATTCTAATTGCTAAGAGAAGATATTTAGACAAAGTTATTCTTCAAAACCATGACTCTCTTAATATACTGATATATTTGTGAGTTTCCTTTTAGAGTACACAATTACAGAGAACTGAACAGCGTGAAGACAAAGTTTTCTCCCAGCAGGAAAACAAGATAACATGGCATAGTATGAGAAACAACCGGACGAAACAAAAAAAATCGCTTCTGCTAAAAAAAAGTTTGAGGGGATAGATACCCTTTTACATCTCCACTCATCTCCCCACACATCACTTGATCCAGTAACAGATTAGCTGGTTTCTCTACAAAGC